TAGAATTTTTAACTTGACAAAGTGGTGATAATCTAGTTTCCACATTGTTTGGATTTGCCAAGTTTTAAAATTTACCCTTTCTTTGACAATGTTTTTTGGGTTCATTGGAGATCCTTGTGTCTCAGACACTTCTTGTACCTTATCTCACAACATTTTAATGCCTTTTGTTTCAGTCATTGGTGCAGAAACCACAAAATTCGGGATTAAGTTGTTGGCATCCTACCTCTGGTATAGAACACATTTCTGTTTGGTAGGGATTTTTCTGGTGCTGCTGTGTATAATACCTCTGAAAGCCCACGTGACATATATGCAAGTGTAAAGGAGTTGATGCATCTTGGATAAATTCTCTTTTGTTTGTCCCTCCTATACACAATTCTCTTGCTCTCAGGAGGTCATAGAGGACTTGTGTCCCAGCTGCTGCAGGCCACTCAATAACATACTTGTGTAGGCTTCCATTCTTTCCTGTTCTGTCTCATTTATTCCTCACTCTTCTTTTCATTCACTTTCTAAAATAAGCTGCTTGTGTGCAAACACTTGTCTCAGGGTCTGCATTTTAGCGATAATCTATAAAGACATATCATCAGTACCCTTGACATAAGACTTACTTACATTTCCCTGGGGATGAGTAAATACATCTTTCTGATTGACCCATAGCTGCTGCTTTAACCACTTGGCATCCAGTAGTGTACTTCCAACTTTTTTCTGCTCAAGTACTTGTGTTTCTGTAGGGTCTTCTTAAACAGTGTCTAAGATGATCTTTATTCCAGCCATCTTTCTTTACAAAAGAACCCATTTCTGATTTATAGAAAATTATAAATTTTAAGTAACAAAACAAACAAAAAATTCTGAGCATGCAAGTTAATTCCAACAGAGTCATCTTTCTGTGACCTATCATCAGCCAGCTTTTTATATATTAATTTTTTCCAGGATGAGGAAGATACAAAGCTACTGTGACACCATGCTCAAAGGATTCATGTTAAACATTCGAAGTGGTTTCCCTACAACCTGTCTCCTGCCCTTCTTGGCCTCCACTTTGATCACTCCAACAGCTGTCTCAAAAATATTATCTGCTCATTTGATCTTTTCCCCCTTAACTTCTCCAACCCTTTCAGGGGATAAAGTTAGGTGGTCAACTAGGAATTGCAGAATTGGTTATCAAATATTATCTTTACATGTCCTGAATAGGTATGTCACATCTTGTCATAAAACGTGACCTATGTCCCCTGGAGAATTCAGCCAACAATAGTTCAAATTTAATGTTATTGCATAGGCAAAGGACAACAAGTTTATAGGTGCTCTGAGTTTCCAATATCTGTCATTAGGTACAGAATTGTTTGATTGTAATTAACATTGTGGCACATTTGGAATAACTTAGTGCTTAAAGAGTCAGGCAAAATATTAAACTTGGGGTCATTCTCAATGTTAGGAAATAACTGATTTAGCAAGTTAGATACTGAATTAGTGATACATGGTGGCTTTTTCAGCATTCAAGTCCTTGGTTTAGATCTTTGTTGGCAATTGAAAATATAATCATTTCTTCATGTAAAAGCTATTTTCACAAACTCGCTGTAACTCCTTCTGTATTTGGGGGCCTCCAAAGAGAAGAAAAATGATAAAACTGATGAAGAAAGAATGGGGAAATAAATAGAGTAATTATGAGCTAGAGTAACAAATACTGCTTAGGCGTATACCAATTATTTCTACAAAATCCACAATTTGTGGAAAGAAATCTCAATGTTTACATATTGATCAGTTTTTATTCATACCAAAAGAGAATACTTTGTAATAAAGATTTCTCACTGATTTGGAAAAAAGTGTATTCCATTAAAGTGTTAGATTACTGTTTCATCTCATCTCTTATTTTTACCACCACAACAAAACAGCTTATTTGAAGGGAAATATTGTGCTGTATAAATCTCTCCATGAATGAATAAGCCTAAAAAAGGAGAGAAATGTCCAGGTTCTGTTTACTGTCTGGCTATTCATGAGAATGTATTGTCTGAAATGAAAGTGGATTTGAGGAACTCTTGAACCAAAGCCACTGACAAAGATTTATATGGTTTGCCACAATGAGTCGACTTCTCTTTGAATGTTGACAGTGACTAATGCTGTCCCTGTCTTAGAAGAAGCATTTTTTATTTTATATATGTTTCATGGAAGGTGATCTTTGGTCTACAGACTCAAGAACTGGAAAAAAAACTTAGAGAATACCTCATCCATGTCTTTGTTATTATGAATGAGAAAACCCAGGTCAGAGAGATTAAATGAACATGTTGAGCTTGTGGCAGAGAATTGTCTAGAACGTATGCCTTGTAATTCCATACCAAGTATCCTTTTTACCTCCCCATGCTAAGATCACAATTAATTCTACCTATTAGCTTAAAATAACCATTATAACATTGCTTTCTGAAATAGACATAGTACTTACAATATGTTATAGTGCTCAAATTATATATGAAACATAGAGCTTTTTTCCAGTACTGAAATTGAACTCAGGAGCACTGTACTTTATATCCTAGTGTTTTTTTTGTTTGTTTGTTTTGTTTTGCTTTTTGGTACTGGGGATCGAACTCAGGTCCTTGCACTTGCGTGGCAGGTGGTGGAACCACTGAGCTAAATCCCTGGCCCAATCCTAATGTTTCTTATTTGGAGGCAGTCTCCCTAAGTGTCCCAGGCTGGCCTTAAACTTGTGATCTTCCTGCCTCGGCTTCTCAAATAGCTGAGATTACATGTGTGCAGCAACACTGTGCCCATACAAAATAAGGCTTTTTATTTTCAAAATGGGAAAGGATGTCGGCTCTCAGTTTTCACTTGATTTTTGACTAAGAGGAATTTCCTTTATATTTGTAATCTTACCCAGATTGGATAAAGATGAGCCAAACCAATAATATATATAAACAAGCCTTTGTTCTTGCTAGTTATCCATAAGTATCACCAAAAGCTTGTTCTTGGGAATGTCCTTATAAATATCTGGAGGACTGCTGTAAAGAGAACTCAATCATTAAGCCAGCTGAGTGTAAATGAAAGAGCAGTCTTTCAGCTGTCCTCCCCATTCTCAATTCTAAATAGGATGAAGATATAGCTTTATTCTCATCTCTTTCTCCTTAAGGTTGTAGTGACTATCCTATCTAAACACAGGATTTCATACTACATTCTAAAAAAAGATATTATTTCAAAGTGTTTGTATGTAGCTGTAGAAGGCTAAGAGACTTTGAAGAGACCCTGGTCCACCAGCAGGCCTGTAGACATGGTCTGTTATTCATGAACAAAGGGAAACAGGGCGAGCAGACACAGTGAAGCATTCTGTGAGCTGGAGTAAGAGAAAGATTATGGTGTAGATGTGGAATTCCCCCTCGTTATCACCTGAGTGTGAACTGCACAATTTCTGAGCAGTACAGTTTCGTCTTGGATGGGGTATATGTGAGGTGGGGGCATTACTTTCTGAATGATAAGTGATGAGGGGACATTGCCACCACCAATGGATGGAGAGACCTTGAAGTGGGCCAAGCATTAAGCGCCATAACGTGCTCTGAAACACACCAATGAAGCCTCTTAAAGTTATTTTAGATGTGATAATTCAGGCTTTGGCAAAATTAAGGTTTGTGTTATAATATCCACCACTACTTACCCAAGATATGTGGAACCATTGTGGAAAAGCTGTGGCTAGAACATTCCAGAAATGGGGACTCAGTGGGAATAAGAACTAGAAGCGTTCTCTCTATAAGGGAAAGAAAATCTGGGAATTAGGGAATACTAGGGAAGCTCCATAAAAGGTTTAAGCTTTCCTTCTTTACCCTGAAATTATTGATGCTCAGCCATGGATGATTTTGCCTTCAGGGAGAATTTGGCAATATTTGAAGTCATTTTTTGTTGTCACAACTTGGGGCAAGGTGCTGACATCTAGTGAATAGATACCAGGGATGCTGCTAAGCATACTGCAGTGTCCTCTCCTTTATGCCAAAGGATTATCTAGTCTTAAAAGTCAGTAGTGCCGAGGTTGAAAAATCCTGCCTTTGACTAAGCATAGCCATGTTATGTGCCCTAATTTAATTTCTTTTCTTTATGGTTTAATTCTCAACCAATAGAGTGTTTTGCCCGTGTTGTCTAATGTTTATAGTACTATGGAAGAGGGTCAAGAAGAGGTAGCATAGGGAAATAGTCTTTCTCATGTCAACCTCCACTGAGTTCTATTCCCTGGTAGAAGTATCATATTGAGAAGATTAAAAAGTCCACGGTTTCAAGAAGTGATCAGCTGCAGAGAACTCACTGGCTTATGGTGCCATTTAATTCTTTATTGTCTCTGAGCCCCCAAATCTACATTTTCTCTATATTCCAATAGCTTTTCTATATTTCAAAACCTTTTCAAGATTCTTCTGCTGGATAGATTTCAATTAGAGGTGGGGGGGGCACGGATAGAAAGATGGAAGGAACAATTGATTTTTTTGTTTCTAGCTCCTGGCACATCTCTCCAGTACTCAGAAAGCTGCACCTACACCCTGTACCTTAAAAAAAAAAAAAAACACCTCCAGGCCCAGCCTTTGTCATGGTCTGTCCCATAGCTGCACACACACCCACCTTGTGATACAGGACCAGTTGTACTGTACTCCCCCAGACACCTGATTACCAGCCATGGCTCCCCCATCTCTGAGCACCCACAACATGGGGTCCCTCCTCTCACTCCTAAGTTTTCTCTTTGATTTCCTCAGCCCTAGGGATGGTAGCTGATTCCTGTAGTTATGATTTCCAGATTTTCTTTTTGCCATTTTAGTCTTCAGTAACTATGTAACCAACTGCCTGTATTAAATCCACTCTGAATGTCCTATATATGTGTATTTTCCTAAAAAGAACCCTACCAGATATACCAATGGTAGAATTGACAGTAATAGGCAGAAGCAGCCAGAGAAGAATAGAAGGCACCAAGTGGTGTTTTGGGAGGTGACACTCGTATCGCCTTAGTAAAACACAGAACCATCTGCTCCTGATCTCAGTGTACAGAAGAACCCTGGCGATGGCTATCTTTTCACTTGCATAGGAAGATGATCTGACTTCATGCTGAGATTGGGCGAAACTGGACAGATGCTCTTGTTTTTCTGAGCCTACATCTCCTCTGGATTGGCAGGGATTATAGCCCCGGGCAAAGAAGTTCTCTGACAACAGGTAAAAGACATGAAGAGTTCAGATTACTCTAGTGAAGTTAGAAAATTTGCTGTCTGCCACACTTGTGGGGGCAACTATGAAAATTTTCCTCTGGATCAAATGTCTGCAATTATTCAGACAGCCACCAGCAATAACGACCAACACTGCCCAGAAAATGACATCAGTGTCACAAACGATCCTGACTAACCAAGGACTATGAGATGTTAGTAATGGTACTACACATTTGAATTTCAGTGAGGTTTCAATGGAAGTCCCCAGATTTAATCAAATCTCCTTAATCTGATACCTCATTGGCATGAGATAGATTTATTCAGTTATTTATTTCTTTGGCCCATACTCCTATTTAGTGGGTGGTGGCAAATTGGAAAGTCACCTACTTATGCTCTGGAAAGTTTCCCTTTAGAGCATTTTATTTACCACTGACACTCTATGTACCCCCCCGCCCTTAGCCATGTCTTCTCATGCTTTAAGTGTCTGCCACTTTGAGGAAGAAGTCATTCTCTTTATGATTTAGTGGTTAAGTCCTACATGGTAGCAGCCTTTCTCTTTTCTTCCTCCAGAGGTTGGGGGTGACATTACTTGGACAAAGGTACAATGCATTATGGGTTATTCACAGCAGCCCTGTCCAGAGGAAGAAGTTAGGAAGTAGCTCTAGATCTGTAGGATGAGGCATGAGAGCTTGAAGCCTAGCCCGGCTGCTATGATGGACCCTGGAGAGTCAGACAGGTCATTGAAAATGAGTATCCTGGTCTTCAAAGAACATAGTCTCATATGGGAGACTGAGAAGCGAACAAACCCACTAATGCCAGATGATGAATATTGACATAAGGATGTATTTACCTGGGGCCGAGGGAGCATAGAGAAATGATGCATGAAATAGTTTTAGCCAGTAAGGTCAGAATTCAAAGTTGACATAATATTTGGACTGAGTCTTGATGAATGATTTAGAATTTCTCTGAAAGACAAAGTTGCCATGAACAGAGACAAATTCCAGATTCAGGAGCAGCATGTGCAAAGGCAGGGTGGGAGACAAATAGTTGGATAGTCTCTGAAGTATGCATGCACTGGGAAAAGTTATTAATTTAAAAATGACAAAATGGTAGAAACTGCAGAATTTGGTGACTGGCTGAATGCAAGACTTCAGAGAAAGGAGGTAAAGAAGAAAGATTTTTGTGGATGGTTTTACTAAATCTTCCAATCAGGCATACAGAGGATGGAGGGCAGATAAAATCATTCAGGTACCTATAAAATATTTTCATGACTGTTGTTTTCCAGGTAAAAGCATAGTTTGAGCGCATAAGAGAAAGGGCTGGATTCTGGACATAAATGTGAAAGCAATCAGCATTTATTATTTGAAACTCTAGCCACAAATGAGATGGTTTCATAATTTTTGAAAAAGATAGAAATAAAAATGATGGCTGATAACATAATGCTGGGATCTATCATTTGGGTAGAAGAAAAAAGGTAAAAATGGAAAGTAACTCAAAAAATAAAGAGCAAAGAGGCAGGAAGAGGGCACATAAATGAAGTAGTGGAAATCCAGGTAGAAATGTTGGCAGATGAAGTGGTGAATGCTGCCTAGTACAGCAGAAAGTGAAAACTGGAGGTCAGAACATACTGATGTGATCAACGACCGGAAGGCCAGAGGTCCTCTTGCCTTGAGTGTCTTAGTGGAGTGGTTAAGACTGAAAATTGGAGTTGATTGAGAAACAAAAAGGAAATTGACTGCACTGCTTTTGACAGCAAAAGGAAAAGTTTGACAGTGAGGGACAGCAAAATAAAGAGTAACTAGAGGACTGTGAGATACTAGAGGAGATGAGATGGACCAGAACATATTTATACCCTGAGATGATGGGATAGACAGAGAGGGACAATATAAAAGGAGAAGGAAAGGGATGAGCACCCAGGGAGGAAGGAAAGATGTCTTTTTTCCCATTAAGTTTATTGGTACATTTTAGGTATACAATACATTTACATACATCACTGGGATCTTGTAGCTTTACATGATGCATCTTGGTTCTTATTTCTTCCCCATTCCCCTGCCCTTCCTTCACCTCCTCTACCCTTCCCTATTTACAAAGACTGTTTCCATGTTTTTCCTTTTCTCATATTTTTTTCTTTTCCCTTCTAGGAAAGATGTCTTCTATTCTGAGATGGGAGTGGAGGATAAGTTTGGTATAAATTCACCAAGTACATAGACTGTTCGTCACCAGGAAGAAGGTGTGACATAATAGCAGGAAAAACAAATGGTCACCAACTTTATGGGGAAGGTGGGAAATCTACTTATTCTTTGGAATAAAGAATTCCAGCTAGATGAGGCTCTTCAAATATTGGTGAAATCACTGGTCTTGTAGAGAGACCTGACCAGTAAGTCCTGATTCTGACACTTGCCAGTGGATTGACCTTAAATTATTTAAATAATTTTCTTGGCTTCAATTCCTTTTCTTGTAAATTTAATTTTGGATTATAATTATATCTATGATATAGCATAATGCAAAGACTAAATGGAATAGTACCTGTAAAAGGACCTGGCATCCCATAGATACTCATATATAATTGTGCTATTAAAAATAAGAATGAGAACCATGACAGAAATTCAGATACATGTGTAGATCAGGGCATCTTTGAAACAGGAAAAAAGTCACTGGAACTTAGTGGCCACCCAGGAGACTGCCTGGGATTCATAGCAAGTACCTTTGGGAACCATGTGGATGTCCATGGCTTTTGGCTGGCCTTGGTACCCCAATATCTCACCTAAAACAGAAACACTGCTGTGGCCTCTGAGACCTCTTCTCATTTAGATATTTCTGCTTTACTTCCAGGTAAAAGTGCTGTCTTGAACAGAGAGTGTCCATATGCCATTTACAGTGTCAAAAGGAATACAAGAATTGGAAAATTTTGCATCTATGCCAGAAGCTAGATAAGGACATGAAGAAATGTCTCTATTCATAGAAAGGACACTTTATGAAAGACACCAAGGGATAACTTACTGAGAAAGTGATATGGCCTTGAAAAAGAAAAAAATATAGAGGAAATTTGAGAGGCATTTTAATAATATCCTAAAATAGGACAGTGCGGCACCTTCCTTTTGAAGTTCCTACAGAGCCTCAGGGAAGCTAGTTACTTGTGCCTCTACCATATGACCACCAATTGGGGTATAGAGTTTGAGGTTTTTGGCAAAATTGAAAAGCTATTTTAACCAGTTTTGTGGTAGAAAAACTTAGGCCTCACCATTTCAAGCCTGGGCCCTAGCACAATCGCTTTGCCATACAGAGAAAGTTATGACCTCAGCTCATGGAAAATCAGAGTAAACCTCCCATCCAGGTGTTAGCCACTGAATGGGTAAAATGTTACATAGCATAAGCTCTAAGAAAGGATTAGGAAAAAAAAATCTATGTAGATCAAAGAGAAATCTATTTACTCCACTTTGAGAGAAATAACAGGCCTGATAAAATAGTCATCATTCAAGGATGAATAAACAGGCAAAATAAAACTTCATTATGAGGCATGTGAAAAATTTTGCAACTTTAAAAAATGAAAATATAGCACTCAAGAGGCAGAGGAAGAGCATACTTTGAAAAAGATTTACTACAAGAAATGGGAATAAATTTCAAGCAGCATATGCTTTGTGATCTAAATAACATTCAAGGACCCCATGAAGCAAGAGATGAAAAATGAGAAAAGAAAACAAGTGGAGATGAGAAAACTGGTTGAGAAACTAGAATGCAGAGAGGAAGATGTAGGAAGAAAAAATGTTATAAAACTGAGTGTAAACATCAAAATTGAAAATACATTAGAATCAATAAATCACTTAATTGCTGCAGCTTATAATGAAAGCAGTAACAGACAGGACAGATTTGAGGCACTCTGCCAGAATTAAGGAGAACTAAAATAGGGAGAACACGGGGAAAGGAGATGGCAGGCTGAGAGGGCAGCAAGTAGAGCTCCAACATGAGGAAGAGTGAGTGTCCTCAGAGAAGATGCCCTGACAAATAGGAAAATGATAATTGGGAAGTACGTAAATATTTAGGGCAAGTGGGCTTGATATTTATTAGACAAAATCAGAATAAAAACACCAATTCTTCTGGAAGTTTGGAATTTTAATTTCAAAAAAGGGTTCTGGAAGATAGGAGAAAACAAAGTGAAATAAAAGAAACAAAAATAAACAGGTTAACAACAAGGGCATAAAAAATTGGGAGCAGATGTTAATAGAGCGAATCTACAGGGGCCCAGTATGGGGAAAAACTAAGATCTGCAACTGTTAGGTCTGGATATGTTGTCATCCACATTTGAAGCCAATAAAGAAGCATTTTTGATATAAAACCTCTGAAAGTTAATCAATAAGGTTCTCTTTATGAAAAAAATAAAATAAAATAACACAGTTTTCCAGACAACCATGAAATGAGCACAGTAATAAACCCAAATGAAGAAGGAAGGATGCTATGAAAGGCCCGGCAGTCACACTGAAATATCGTCATATTAGATCAAGTCTAAATAATAAATGTACTGTAACTAAAATGGAATTTGCCAAACTGGTCAATAATTCTTAAAAAATAAAATATAAAATGTAGACAACAATGTTTAACAAATAAGCGTTATTTAGGTCTAAGTACCCAGGCAGTGGGAGAAACGTAGGAGCAAGGAAGCCCCTGCTACTGTCTTGGTCACACCTGTAAGGAAAGTGGAAATAATGACTTCCCCTTGATGTGGACAGAGAAATAGAGGCATTCATGTCTAAAGATAATCCTCACCAAAATTAAAAGTAGGATGTATACCTTTATATTAGAGAGGAAAGGGAAAAGAAAACATGTATGTTAGAGTCAGGGATAAATATTAAAGGAAAGAGCAGAGAAATTAAAACATGAATCAATTTGAGTAAGCATATATATTTGCAATTCATGAAGAATATAATAATTTTATTATATTAAAAGGCAAAGATTAGGTCATAATTGGCAATAGGTGTCAAAGATACCTAAGAAAGTGTAACTCAGGAAAATGAGAAGTGTTAAGATTAAAATATAGAAGAGCTCCTCTTCCTTCTCCTTCAAAAGCTGGACTTATTGTTATGTAAGAGGAAGTAGATTTTCAGGAAAAAAAGTTAATTTCTTATTGATAATATTTTTCTATTGTTGGTAGGAAGATGCTAATTGAAAATTTGTCCAGATTCAATTTTTATGTGCCAAATATCAGAGTATAAAATAAGCATAAAAAAAATTGTTAGAACTAAACTGAAATGAATACATAGCAAGAAAATAAAGTGCTTTTTTTGCTTTTGAGAGTTAAGGTAGGATATAAACAAGGCAAGAGAGTTTCTGATAAATCATCTATTAATTTTAAAATGTACATAGGAACTCAATAACTTTAATAGATGACATTTTCTTTAAATATGTGTGAAATGGTCAAAATTTTGTGTGTATTAGATCACAAATATTCACAAAGAATTTTCTTAAAACCCTCTATACAAACTACATTTTTTAATCAAAATGCAATAGAATTTATAGTAGAACAACAACAACTTTGAAAATTTTCCCCAGACTTTTGGTAGTGATAAAACAAAACTAAATTTTTCTATATATTTCTGTGTCAAATAGGGGATCAAAGGGTAGTTTCAAAATACCTAGAAAATTATAATAATAAAGCACTACATATTTAAACAGTACATAGTCAAAGCTCTAATCAGGAGAAAATTCACAAAACACACTTTCATTACTTTTGAATAATAAAAGAAACAAGTGAATTAAACTATTAACTTGAGAAACTAAGTACAAACTAAGACAAGACTAACCAGAAACAAAAATAAAGGAGGAGAAATAATCATAGATGAAAGCAGAAATTGAAATTTAGTAAACAGAAGGAATAGAATAGGTACATTTTAGAGCTGTTCTTTGGGAAATAAGGACTAAATGTGTAATAGGTAATGTAAAATAGGAAGAAAAGGGGCAAAGGGGAAGGAAGTGGGAGGGCTAGGGGAAAGGACAGAAGGGAATGGGATTAATATGAGAAAATGGAAAAATAGGAACAAAATCTTTGTAAATAGGGAGGACTGGAGGAGTTGAAGGGAGGGCTGGGCAAGGGTGAAAAATAAGAACCAAGAGAGACTATGTAAAGGTGCAAATTTCCAATCATGAATGTCATTATATTGTATACCTAAAATGTACCAATGATTAGAATGAATAATCGATAATGCAAAATAGGAAGAAAAGGTCCGAAGGGGTAGGGGTAGTGGGAGGGGCAGGGGAAAGGAAAGAAGGGAAAGGAAAAATTGCTGAGAAATGGAAAAAATGGAAATAAAGTCTTTGTAAATAGGGAAGGGTGAAGGGCATGAAGGGAGGGCTAGGAATAGGGAAAAAATAAGAACCAAGATGCATTATGTAAAGGTACAAGTCCCAATGAGAAATGTAATTGTGTTGTAGATCTACAATGTACCAATAAAAGAATTTAATAGAAAAAAAATAGAACAAAAAGAATAAAATAAAACCTCCATTCTAATCAAGGAAATAATAAGAGTCAAAAATTAGGGATAAGAAAGGAGGTGTCATCTGAGGTATAAAACACTTGAAAATCTCTATATAATTAATCATTTCCATTCATATAATTATTAACTAGAGAAGAAACAACTTTTTCAAAGAGATAATGAAAAACAAACTTAAAGACTTACCTATTCAGAACATTTAAAGACAAACTATTTCATATTTTAAAGGACAAATAATTTTCTGCCTTTGTTAACCCTTTAAGGGCATTAAAAGACAAGGGGAAAAAAACTAAGTTCAAATATTAATGGCAAAATCCTAAAACCAAAAATGAATAGAACTCATTCAAAAAAGGAAAAGAAAAAATAATCTCATAAATATAGATGCCAAAATCTAAAGTGCAATACTAAATTTATCCAGCTATTTATGAGATAATACAAAGAAACTTCCTAGAGGTTTTGTTTCACAAATGCAAATATAATTCAATATTGTGAATTTATCGCTATAATTTTTCACATCGGTATGTCATAGGAAAAAAAGGAAGTGATCATTTCCAATATGTCAAAAATTAATTAAAAATGCAATAATAAAATTCTAGAAACATTCATTTTAAAAGAAAAAAATACAAGAATTTTTCCCATCATGAATATACCGCATTTTTCTGTAATTTATAACCTGTGACGTAAGATCAGACCACGGAAATACATGGTTGTGGAAGAAGAGGACAAATATTACTTCCTAGAGTTTTGATTGTCTAGTCCAAAATCCCCCAAACAGAAAAAAGCTATTGGAAAACTAATAGCCTTAATGAGATTTAATGTAGGTAACCAATTATAAACCATATACACAAAACCACCCGCTTTTATTTTTTCTTTCCTTAGTACTGGGCATTGAACCTAGGCCTTTTGCCCTGAGCTACATCACCGTCCATATGTACACATAATTTTTTTTTGAGACAGGGTCTCACTAAGTCACAAATTGCACAGGATGGACTTGAACTTGCAATACTTCTGCCTCAGGCTCCTATAGTGTTGGGATTATAGGTGCAAGCTCAACTGGCCTTATATACAACAGCAATAATTAACAAGGAGATTTAATTTAAACACCCTTCTCATGATGAAATAAATAAATTACCTAGAAATATATTTTAAAAGAAATGTTTAATAAGCCCAGGAAGAAAACTACAAAAAAATTATTTTAAATTTAACTCTAGAAGATATGAATAAATGGAGAGAAACCCTGTACATTGATCTAGATTGTTTACTGACACATGTAATGCTATCAGTGTTGGACAGGGATCAGAACAACATAATCTAGTACCAGTATTGAGCAAAGATGTGAAAATCCTAACCAAAACACAATCAAACCAAGGACAGCAGCATATAAAATAATAACACATCTAAATCAAATAGAGTTTATCCTAAGGATGCAAATATTAATCAGTCCTGGCAGAAAGCTTGTCTGTCTTGCTCTCACTTTTATTCCCTGCATTTATCACAGTTCTTGGCACATAATAGTTGCTCAATAAATATGCATTCCCTGAAAAAAATTAAAGGTAACATTTTATTTTGCTATATTAACAAATTTAAGAAGAAAATCTATACCATATCTTCATGATGCAGAAACATGTAATAGATTCAATATTCACTTTTTCTCAGATTCCAAGAAATACAATGAACATTTTTGTCCCGGTAAAGATTTCTATCCCATCTCACAACTAGTGTTATATTTAGTAATGTTAGATTCAAGAGCAAAGAAAATGTGCTTCCTATCATCTTGACTTGTTAAAACTTTACTGAAATTTCTAATCAATGAATAATAAAGGAAAAAAATAAATAGGAACTGTGAATTTAAGGAGACAAAAATAGTTACTCATAGACGATACCATCTGTACGCAGAAAGTCAGAGGCACAAATGACAACTGATACTGCTACAGACTGAATGTTTGAGTCTCCTCAAAATTTGTATGTTGAAACCTTAATCCTCTATGTGATGGTATTTGGAGATGGAGCCCGGGGGAGGAATAAGGGTGGCACCTTCATGATGACATGAGTACCCTTAGAAGGGACAGGAGACAGCTTGCTCCCTCTCTCTCTGTCACCATGTAAGGAACGCAAGAGGCAGCTGTTCACAAGCCAAGCCAGGAAATCAGCCCTCAGGAGAAAATACCATGCTGGTACCCTGATCTCGGAATTTCTGCCTCCAGACTGTGAAAAATTAATGTTTATCGTTGAAGCTGCTTATTCTATATTTTGTTATAGGAGATCCAGCAGGAGGAGACAGATAAATAAAGAGATTAGCTCCAAGGTCAATACACACAAATCCATGGCTTTTCCATGCCCTAACATCACAACTAAATAAAACTTTAATATTGCTCCATTCACAAATTTAACAAAACAAATTCTTAGGAGTGAAATAAGAGAAATATGCAAGACCTAGATGAAAAATGTCATAAAACTTTATGGAAACGCTGAATAAATGAAGAGGAGACCATGTTCCTGGATTGAAAATCACTTCCCTATAACTTATTTATAAATTAAATTAAATATTAATAATATTTCCTACAGAAACTCAACAACCTACTTCCAAATTTTGAAAGAGAAAATAAAAGAAATGCCAAGACTTTTTTGAAAAAGAGCACTGAGCAGGAACTTCCCCAGCCAAATATGAAAACAAACTATACTCTATAGTAGCTAATGAAGTGTAATATTGGTTAGGAAGTAAGAATTAATGAATGGGCCAAAAAGAAAAGGAATTTCAGATATCTGCCATATATGTTTTACTAAAAGAATTTCATGTCAATTTAAAAATTATGAAGAGCTGTTTTAAAATTTAAAACTATAAAGATACGGTACTTTTTTTAAAATTTTCCTTAAGAGGAAAAAAAAACCAGAAACTGTCATCTAAGCTTTGTCCCAAGATGGCCACCTAACGGTTCTCAGGGCCCCCAGGGTGAGTGCTCCTAGCTCCTTCATGATGATTGGTCTTTGCACCATTATATAAGGTGTGCTTTCCTGAAACCATGTTATGATATTGTCAAATTACTTTTTTGATATGAATGTAGAGGAAAAAAGATGAGTGTTCCAAAGGAACAGAGTAGAAGGTGAATGACCTGCTATGGCTTACCCTCAAAAGCCAACAGTCGCTTCTGCCACATTCTGCTGGTCAACCAATCCCTAACGTTGGCCCACACTCAAGGGAAATGCATAGAAACCTCCACCCGTGAGGAGGAATGTCAAAGAATATGAAGATATGCTTTTAAGTTGATGTACCCTCTCAATCCTGGATGGTGCTCTGTATTGAAGTAGGAACCGATTTCTATGTAGGCTATCTCCTGAGCGGAATGCCATTTTGTTTACTGACTGTTTAAGCTTG